TGTCTATAAGCATCCATTTAAACTATAAGCCACAAAACGTAAAAATGTACAACATATGCACAAGGAGGATCATTGGCTCAAGGCTGAAAAGGACTTGTGCTCTTTACATAAAAATTGGTGTTAAGGTGCTATGTCTATAATTTTAAATGCAAATAGATGTCTCATAAAGGCAGGGAAAAACAACGGGTACAAAACCCGCTTTGTTCTAACCTGGAAGTCTCCCACTCAGCAGCACAGCACAGTGCCAAAAAGCTGAAGAGTGTAGACACATGAGCAAGTGAAAATGTAATTGTGAGGGGGTGTATGCAATCATGTATTCATACTACTACATATAGTATTCATTCCAATGTACATCTGAGGCTGTTAAATATATTATACAGAGGATTGTTTCACTACTATGTATTTAGGTAGGTGATCATCTAGAAACTAAATAAGCACAATAAGGAGCATGAGTTTAGGGTGACCAGATGTCCCGACTTTATAGGGACAGTCCTGATTTTTGGGTCTTTTTCTTACATAAGCTCCTATTACCCCCTGTCCCGATTTTTCACATTTGCTGTCTGGTCACCCTACATGAGTTAGCACAATACTTGTAGTGAATTAAAGTCACAAACTTAGTTGGAAGGACAATATATGATGGGACTGACAAACTTACTAAAATTTGTGCCCTGAATGTTGGATATTTATTTATTTGGTATACTTCTAATTGCCTATGAAGGGAAAAATTTAAAGGGTAATAAGTCTCTTTTTCCTCTTAAATACAAACTGAAATGAAAGAGAAGGTTGTATTATTATTCCAAACTCTCTGTGAAGTTAACTTATTTGTAAAATGGAGGGCTGATACTTGACTGCCTCCTAAAGTAGAAGTACAAGACCTTGCTCAATAAGACATATTATAAGCATCAGTGAGTAGAAGGGTGAAATGTGACCTCACAGGGCTAGTCTACACTGGCAACGCTAAAGCGCTGCCGCCTTGTGTGCTCGTGGCGCAGCGCTGGGAGAGAGCTCTTCCAGTGCTCTTAAAAAAAAAAAAAAAATCACCTCCATGAGGGGCGTGGCTCCCAATGCTAGTGCACTGTCTACACTGGCTCTTTACAGTGCTGAAACTTGCTGCGCTGAGGGGGGTGTTTTTTCACATCCCTGAGCCAGAAAGTTACAGCACTGTAAATTGCCAGTGTAGATAAGCCCTATAGTCTCCTGGCTCCCAGCCCCTGTGCACCTTTACTTAGGCTAAAGGGTACTTTGATTCAGAAGACTCTTCCCCTCTCTCTCTCTGACTCACAGTGCTTCAGATCAGGGAGCCTGCTTCATCTGAACTGCAGAACATCCTACAAAATCTGATACACTTAAGAGCTCTCCTCCTCTCCCTCCCCCAGCAACATCAAAGTCTCCCTCCCTCCTTATAATATAGCTGCAACATATTTGTGTTTCAACAAAAAGTCAAAATAGCTCGAGGTAAAAAACATTTTTATCTTGAAGAAACACTCTATGTCCTTTAAGATAAACCAACACATGTAAAAGTACTCTTTTTTTCTATTTACTGTCAATGTGTGGATTAACAGAATACCACACAGAAGGTTTCTAAATTAAATGAATATACTTTATTTGGACCTCTGGATTCTTTACAAGTTTCCCTGTTGCTATTTTTGTTCTTAGAAAACACTCACACGGACTATGCTTGACCTATGCCAGTGTCTTAAATCTATAGAGCACACTCCGTTTCCAGAACGACAAACCAGAAATATAGCCACATTAACTCAAACCTCTTTACCGGAAAAAACACATTTCTCCCCTTTCCTTCCAACACAGATGTAACTCAGAGTATTCCTTTACTAAACTACTTTAAAGGAATTTAATTTCCCTGTTCACTACCTTTATTTAAAAAATAATTTTCAGTCACCTCTTATTTAACAGAGAAGAAACCAAAACCTCTCTCAGTGAAAATCATCTTTTGTTTCAAAACCTCCCATCTATGGGATAAAAGTTAAAACTTGATGATAGTGGAAGATAGTTTTATGTGACCTATGTTAGAACAAAAATTACATCTAATGATAACAATTTTACTGTACTTGGTTTATTGCTGTGGCGACAACTAGGGAATGTTTACTACACACATAGGCCAGTGATATGAATCAACCTAAGCAGTAAACTTAGGAAATTTCATACAAAAAAGCAATGTTAAGAGAACACTGAGGTTACCGCAAGGACATCAGAACCATTAAATATATGGAGGCACTATTTTAGTCAACTACTGAATGGTGAGACAGTGGCCAATCCCCCAGATATAGAGGACAGAGACAATCTGTATGTCAAATGAGGGCTAATCACCAGAGTAGATGTAGAAATGGCCATTAATCAGTTAAAAGTTGGAAAGGCACCAGGTCTGGACAACACATTGACAGTGGTTCTTAACATAGTCTACCATGTTCTGCTAGTCATTTGTATAGGCCTCTTACAAAAGATATAGGAAGAAGTAAAAATACCAAACAAATGGAAAAGGGTCTATACAGTGAAACTGCCAAAGAAAGGAGAACTCAGTCCGTGTAAAAGCTGGAGGGGCATTCCTATGCTGTCTATTCCAAATAAGGTATTTACATGTATTATTCTATACAAAATAAAGAGAGTGGTAGATTCAAAGTTACGACAAGAACAGGCAGAGTTCAGAAGGAGGAATCACATATAGATCAAATGATAATCTTATGCATCATCATAGAAACGTGGATCGAATTGCAATCACTACTTTATTTGAATTGTATAGATTTCCAGAAAGCCTTTGACACAGTGGATGGAACATTTTTATGGAAGTTGTTTTGCCACTATGGAATACCTCAGAAATATGTGAACATAGAGAGCTTTTATGAAAATATGACATGCCACGTTACACATAACAGCAAACTGACTAAACCATTCAAGGTTACTATGGGCATCAGGCAAGGATGTCTTTTGTCACCCATATCTTTTTACTGATAGTGGATTCGGTTATGAGAACTACCACAAAACCAAAGGGCATACAATGGACTTTAACACAAAAGTAAGAGGACCTAGACTTGCAGATGACATCAACTTACTATCCCATACCCAGAGAGACATGCAAGCTAAAATTATCTCTCGGCTTATGCACAATTAGTAGGGTTGAAAATCAACATTGAGAAAACTAAAATCATGAGAATCAGCCCATAACAAGAAACACCAATAACACTTTCTGAGACTGACAAAGAAGAGGTCCGATATTTCCCATAGCTTGGCAGCACTGTAAGTACAACAGATGGAACAGACAAAGGTTCTTTTATTGTTTTAATAAGTTTTCTCTGCAACGTTCTCACCTTAAGAATAAATGTATTTGCTTATAAAGAGCTATGTGCTCACTCGTAACTGCTGACAGTTATAGCTGTTCATAGCCCTGGGAAAGAAAGCAAAGTGTAGACTCTGTCCCGTTTACTCTGGCTTGATGGGGACATCACAGAGTAGGCAGGGACCTGTGCAGGCTGCCAAAAACCCGGTCAGGAGTGAGAAAGATGCTGATCTCCACCCAAGAGAGGTGACAGGTCCAGATGGTCTAGATAATACTTAGTCATGCCATGAGTGCAGGGGACTGGACTAGATGACCTTTTGAGGTCCCTTCCAGTCCTATGATTCTATGACAGCAGAGGAGCCAGGAGCCTAGCGTGGGTGTCCTTGGTGGACCACGAGGGGGAAATATAGGTGCATTTGCTCTGAACTGTGACAACAGTGTGTAATATATTCCTAAAATTTACTCAAGAAGAGAAATCAGAGCTCCCAGCCATCCACCCCTTTTTTGTGTCATTGTAGGAGGAAAAAGGAAATAGGACTTGGAAATGTCTCTTTGGATTTAGCAAGGGCTTATCCTCTGTTCTGCTGAAGAAGAGAAAAGCAGATAAAGGAATCCTCAGTGCTGAAGATATAAATCGTATCTCACATGAAAATTTTACACTAAGGGTTTTCTGATGTGACATTCTTAAATCACATCAGCTCAGCTTGAATAATACAACAATGATTAAAAATTTCAGATAAATCAGTATCGGATGTTACTACTTAACTAGCCACAGTGCCTGGCAGCAGAGTATGGCACGCATCATTATCCTCAAAATAACCAGTAGTATAAATCTTTCAGAAGCAGTTACCACCCCATGAGACACTGTCTCTCTTTCCCCACTACAGAAGTTCTCAAAAACACCATGGCATTCCTAATTGACTGCCATTCTCACATCATTCTGGTTACCATTTCATCTCTGATGAAATCTGATAGCTGATTTATTCCAGTTCTGTGAAGATGCTATTGATCACCTGATACCACAAAGGTAAGACAGTGATATCAAAGTAAAGGGGAGCATTCAATGTTATTTTAATACTGTACCATTGTGTTTTAGAAAACTATGCAGGAATGATACCAATGAGTCCCTCCCCCATCCCGCCAAACTCTGCTAATAAGATTACCATAGTGTTACGGTATTGCACCAGTAGCTGCAGTCATAATGGTAAAACCTGACCACAATTATCTTCAATATTATTTGTTGTTGTTGTTGTTGATTATTTCTTTAGAGTCCCCACAAATGTGATAGAATATGTATTTGTAAAGAACCTATTAGCTTCAAATTGGGCAGGAATTTGTCCAATAAGATATGAAAAAATGTAACCTTAACATTAGGGCCCCTATTCAGCACTGTGCCTAATTTTAAGCATGTGAGTAGGCCCATTGACTTCAATGCAACTACTCATGTCAACCAAACAAACAGCAGTCTAAGTAAGAGTTACTTAACCGCAAAGGAGGTTCGTGTCTCTTCCTCATCAGGGCTGACTATATATTCTGATAAATTGATTCCTTAATATATGGAGCCTGCATGATTAAAACTATCTAGAACTGACTTCTATTCCTGAGAATTCATGGGTTTGGGAAGTATTCCAATCACAATACCAACTGTATATTTTTTGTACTTTTTGTGTTATAATTAGTTATAGAGTCAAATAAAATATCGTCTTACTTTTTTTCAGATTCATTTCTTGTACAGCAGCTGGATGGATAGAACTTAACGTAGGTAGAGAGGATATCCTGTCTGTGATCTTGATGGATGTGTCTGTGGACCAACGAGTTTTCTCCTCTGTAGTGGCAAATGACCACGTATGGTCTTCAGGGGCTCTGGTCAAAATACCAACATCTGTAGTAGTGGGGTTGAATGGTGGGGCTGGTGTAATAAGAGCCAAGGAATCTTCCTGTAAGGCCTGCCTAAACATGCTTAAGTTTTCATGCATTTGGTCAACATGGGATAAAGGGCTTTGGGTCCAGGATGATGGCAGCACTTTGAGATCCACTGTGGGAACCACATCCGAACTATTTTCAACAATATTTGGAAAAGGAATGTCAGATGTTCGAATGTTGCCACCAGCAGCTAGAAGGTCACTCCCATTTGAATAAAAACATGTTTTTTCTAATATACCTGGAAGAGAAAAAAAAAAAGTTCAACACTTACAATCAACACATTCACCAGGATTATTAGGAAGGACAGAAATTTAACCAAATAGTTTTTGAAGGTTATACTACTTCTAACACAATAATTGTTAAAATAATGTTGTGACACTGCATCCTATATCCTTCACAGTGATATTATGATGATATGATTATGACATAATTATGATGTATTTTATGCAAGATAGGTCATGTGAGGTGTCATTGGAAAAGTTATGATTTGCTGAATATGATTATCCTATTTGTATGCATGTATCA